CAAGACACAGAGAAACCAAAGTGAACGTGACGCATGCGGCTTCATCGGGGGTTTGTGGTCCGCAGACGAGCCGTTTCTGAGGGTCATTAGTGAGGATGTGTTGAGGAAAGCTGATCTTCTGACAGGGATGCATGGAGTTTATTCACAAAATAGAAAGAGCAGTTCATGATTTGGCCGTTTGTGTTGTGGGTCAGTCGTTGATGAGAGCCAGGATCATGCTGCAAAACACAGCAGAGAAAAGAAGAATTTCCAGAGTTACACAGGGAGGGCTTACTGTCACCAGCTCTTTAACATCTCATCTGAACACTGAAACACATGTGGATTCAGATTCAGAGTTCAGTTCTAGATTGTAGGTGATCTGATGAAGTTTTGTTGAATGCAGCATGAGGGCATGTGATCAGCTAAGGACAAAAAAAAACAAACAAAAAAAAGAGTAGGTGGTTTTCCACCTACTCAATATGACTACATGATAATAATAATAATTAGTAATTATTAGAAATTGGTTAATATTCAAAATATTTTATTTTATTATTTAAAAAACTAAATGTTACAATAATATAAAAAACGGAGTATTTAATAAAAATATAATTATTATTACTTAGTATTATTTAATATATAGATTAATATTACTTACATTAAAAGAAATATATGAAAATAAAGAAACATTACTACTGCAATAATACTATTCTACTGTAAAATAAAAACTTTAGTATTTCATAAGTATAATTACAATAAAAATATGAATAATAGTAATATTATAGTAGATCATAAAAAATATAATTTATTACTACTGTTAATTATAAAAATAATAAAATATAATAACATGATACATATTAATAGTAATAATTATTACTGTTACTTTTGTTAATAATAAAAAAAAAAATACTGATAATGATAATAGTAATTTTATTATTACTAAATTGTTTTTTTTTTACATTTAATTACTAAAATCAATTTTGCTATTAGAATGCTATTTTGCTGTAAAAATTATTACTACTATTTAATAATAATAAATATTATTACTACAATAAAAATATGAATAATAGAAATATTATAGTGGATCATAAAACCTACAATTATTTTTACTACTGTTAATTATAAAAATAATAAAATATATTTAATAAAAGTGCAATAACATCATAATGATACATTAATAGTAATAATTATTACTGTTACTTTTGTTAATAATAAAAAAAATTAATTACTGATAATGATAATAATAGTAATTTTATTATTACTAAATAGTTTTTTTACATTTTATTACTAAAAGAAATTTTGCTATTAGAATGCTATTTTGCTGTAAAAGTTACTACTATTATTTAATAATAATAAGTAGTATTACTAAAATAAAAATATGAATAATAGAAATATTATAGTGGATCATAAAAACTATTATTATTTTTACTACTTGTGTGTATATGTGTGTGTACAATATATATATATATGTGTATGTATATATGTGTATGTATGTATATGTATATATGTATATACACCTTGCTACGTGTACTGCGTTAGGCTAACCGAGACTTGTCATTTGCACTTATATATTGTTGCTCTTTTGTTAGTTTTGACTGCTTTTATTGTCCTCATTTGTCAATAAAACATTTGTTTGTTCTACTGTAAAATAAAAACTTTAGTATTTCATAAGTATAATTACAATAAAAATATGAATAATAGTAATATTATAGTAGATCATAAAAAATATAATTTATTACTACTGTTAATTATAAAAATAATAAAATATAACTAATGATACATTAATAGTAATAATTATTACTGTTACTTTTGTTAATAATAAAAAAATTTAATTACTGATAATGATAATAATAGTAATTTTATTATTACTAAATAGTTTTTTTACATTTTATTACTAAAAGAAATTTTGCTATTAGAATGCTATTTTGCTGTAAAAGTTACTACTATTATTTAATAATAATAAGTAGTATTACTAAAATAAAAATATGAATAATAGAAATATTATAGTGGATCATAAAAACTATTATTATTTTTACTACTGTTAATTATAAAAATTATAAAATATATTTAATAAAAATGTAATAACATAATAATGATACATATTAATAGTAATAATTATTACTGTTACTTTTGTTAATAATATACAATAAAATACTTATAATGATAATAGTAATTTTATTATTATTAGGGTTGCAAAAAAGTGGAAACTTTCCAGGATTTTTTGGAATATTCCAGGGATTTTTTTTGAAAGATTCCGGAAATTTACAGGAAATTTTCCACCCCTTTGCAACCCTAATTATTAAAATATATTTTTTATTTTATTACTTAAATGTTGCTATTAGAATGCTATTTCGCTGTAAAATAAAATTATTACTATTATTTAACAATAATAAATATTATTACTACGTTATTTTGCATCGCAACTGCAAAGTTACAGTAAAATTACAAATATTTAGCCTAATTTCTTAGCTTTTTAAATGTTGAAGCATAGAGCAGAGAGCCCTTAAAGCTTGTCTTTTGTTGACAACAGATTCGACTCTTATGAAAAATGTGGTTAGATGGTTGGTGTGCGCTGTGTTTTCAAATGTTTGCCGCCCAAACTCAGACTTGATCTCAGTCTCTTCTCGTCTAAGCAGCCGCTTCTTGACCAGAACTCAAAGGCTGTGTGTTTACCTGTACAGGTAGATGAAGAAGCAGAGGAGGTGGAAGCCCAGTTTGATCATGGCCTCCTTCATGTGGGACTTGAGCTGGCCTCTGTTGTGAATCTCTGTGGGATCGTACACTCCCATGTTCCCCATGGGAACCTTCACATATCTGTTCACACGAAACAATGGCTGTTAACTCTCAACTCAATATTGCTCAGGTTTATATACACACAGTGTGTGAGTGAGGTGTGGTCACCTGTACGCGTCCCAGGATGCCACAGGGAGGTTGAGCAGGAACACAAACCAGTGCATGGAGACCAGCATCAGCACCGTGGCCAGAGCCTGAGCGACCATCTCAGGAACGACCCACTGAACACAAACCACAGCCACATTCAGACAGGAATATATACAGCTTTTCCAACACTATCTCAAATGTGGATTTCTTCAGAGATTATGAACCCCCTCTGCTCTCCAATAAATGAACTATACATTACAATAACTTTGCCATCAGCCTCACAATTCAGACTCACTTTGTTTAACTTGGAGCAGCAGGATCGAGCATTGATGTAGTCACATTCCAGATCAGACAGAGTAATAATCTGAGCGTGGAGTTAGGGAAACATAGAGATTATTAATAATCATTTAAAACAACAGTGAAGGTAGGGAGCTTCAGTCGATCCTTCTGAAACCGCTAATGCAGTCAAACACACATCATAAAGATTATTATTCATCATGAATGACATAAACATAAACACTGACATAAACAGTCACGGCCTGCAGCAGCTGCGAACACAGCTCAGGAGTTCGAGAAGGATACGAAATACACGGAGAGGAATATTAAAGCACAGCAGTCGACGAGGGATGAGATAAACACGGCTGCCTCCATTTTTGCACTTCCGGTTTCACTGCCGCTTCCGGGTGATTCTTCTCTCTCGCTGCTGAAGCGTCGAGTCGCACGAGCGCCACCGATCGGCGGAACCGAGCCATTCAACGACATGAGCGATAAAAAATAAATAAATAAATACATAAAAAAAGATGCTGCGGCCGCACAACAAGATACTGTATTTTTATGGCTTGAATGAAATACACAACACGCCTCAATAAACACAAAACTAAAAATTAAAAAACAAAATAATACTAGCTTCAAAAACATAACAACCATTAAAAATAAACAAACAACAAAGATTAACAAAAAAAAAAAATTTTTTAATTAATTAAATAAATAAATAATTTTCCTGAAATGGTTTTGGACGTATTTAAACCTGTCATACAGAAATGCCATCAAGCCAACATATTTCCAGTATGTTTTATTGCATAATTTCTGCCATTTCTTTCTTTATTTAAAAATAAATAAATAAAATAATAAATCGGCGCAGTGTGTTGGAGAACTACTCAGACTTATTCGATGCGATGCGTGAATCATTTAGGTCAGTTTTGGTAGCAGTTTCAACCAATTCATTGAAAAGATTCGACTCAAAGGAACGATTCACTCACGAATAGGACATCCCTAGAAACTAAACTCGGTCTAAATATGTTTCAATCGTATTTCCAAACAGAAAAGGGTTTAACTTTTTAAAACTTTTTTTTGCTTTACTTGAACGCATAAATACGATCAATTCAAATATTGATTATGTGCACCATATTAAATCATTCTAAATTATGGATAGTAAAAGTCCCATGTTCTCCGTGAGTATCGTTCTTAGCTCAGAGCTGCAGAAAGAGTATGGCGCAAATCACAAAATCCTACTGACCTTAATGTATATCGATCACTCCTCTCTTCATTCTCTGCTAATGTCTCCACTGCTAAATGCTAAATGACTAAATGTAAATGTAAATGTAAAAACAATTAATTTATTTTCATTGCTGTACACAAACTAGTTATTTAAATATTGCCATAGCTAGTTATATAAATATAGTTATAATAAAAGATAATATATTTTATTATATTTGAATATTTTAAATATGATTCATATGAATTATTACTACAAAACCGCAAAATATTAATGTTTATACAAGTAAAATGCATCGTTGAATTATAAATGACAAACAGTGATATTCCAATTCCATCAAACATTTAACAACCGGTACAATGTTACTATGGCCGCGAAGGCTACGTTATTAATATTAATTACGCAACGTGTTGTTCATTCCACGGATTTAACTATTAGTAGTAGTAGTAGTAGTAGTAGTAGTAGTAGCATTAATTAAAGCGGGTTTGTTTTAACTTATTAACTTATTATTAGCTGCAAAGCATATGTTGACTGACGTTCATGAATATTAATTAGTTGACGCTGCTGGAATCGGAAGGAAGTACATTCTAATTAATATTCATGAGCCAGGCTTTCGCCCGCCCCCGAGCACATCTCTCGAGTTGCAGTTATGGCGGAGCCTACAGCGCGGAGAGACTGTGATGAGTGGCAAGATTTCAACGAGTTCAAGGGCGGAACGGGACGGAATATTCATCCGGAGCACATTCACATGAACGCCGAAGAGATGTCGCTGCTGCTGGAGGGATTTTCAGCCCCGAGCTCTTACTCCTGCTGCACTGAGGACATGATCAGCCGCTTCCACGAGAACTTACAGTCATGCTTCCAAAATGTAGACTCTAAACCGTCCGCAACAAATCCAGCGACGCCGATGAATGAGGATACGAGCCTGAAACGCGATGAGTAAGGAAACAAAAGCATGCATTAGTGTAATGTACCACACTGCATTAATGTACACCATCATGGTTGTTATTTTCATCAGTGGACCACAGAAGACACTCTGTCTAATGAGTGAAGGACAGTGTGCACTGTGTACAGATGATGCATCGCTGAGTTTGATTATTAGTTATGGCCGATTAGGAACATCCGAGGTCACGTGACTGTGGATGTTGTTTACTCTGTGGGGCATGATTTATCATGAGGTAGGATTGAAACAGTTGTGCAGTAATAGTTTAATCATATAGTTACATGATGAGAAGATTATTGCTGAAGTGAAAGCGTTTCAAAAAATAAAAGTGTAAAAAAGTTTGTTTATTATAAAGAAAGGGTACTGTACTAAAATTAATTTTATATAAAATAAATATTTTACAAAATATTTTGGAATCTAAAATTGCTATAAAATCAAAGTCATATGTTTAACTAAGTTATGTTCCAAATTTTAATTTGATATCACAAAAATAGCCACTGGGTGTCACCCAAACTCCATTGAATTTTTTGATGCATTTTGCGGTCACAATTCACAAATATATACATTTCTGTCAGAATATTACTTCTGTCACAAAATAACCACCAAATATGGAACCTGGAGATTCAGAGCTTTTCAACAGTATGTGTTTTGTCAAGATTAGAAAAAATGTTGATTATAAAATATTGTAGTAAGTATTGTAATATGACCGCCCACCAGGGGAGGAGCCCACTAAAAGGATTTAAAGTACAATTTCCATGGTAACGCAATATCCAATTTCAAAACACAGGAGGAATTTTGAGCATTTAAGCTTTTGAATGAAATCTCATTTTAGGATGCTTACTAAATGTAAAATATGTATATGCATATATATATATATATGCATATATGTACTAAATATGTGGTGGGGAAAAAGGCATTAAAATAAAGAGCGTGCTTTTTGTTATGGTGCTGTTTTATTTTTATTGTCATTCCTGATATGGTGACTGGAAAAAGCTTCATAAAGATTCTTTATATATAAAAAAAAATTCTATTTTTGTGTTCCACTAAAAAAAAAAAACAGCATAAGGTTTGGGGATTGTCTTGACACCAGTTAGTTAAAAGTCAATGCAAAAATTTTCCAAAAAAAGTGAAGTTCTAGTTCTAGCATCTTCTATTTGCAGGTCTCACTCGCTACTTGTTTGCAGGTGTTATTTTAATATTTTAATGTCTAATGCAATATCATTACTACTATTTGGCTAGATTACATCTGGTCAAATGAATATTTGTATGTATGAATGCATGTACACAACCATTCAAAAGTTTGGGGTCAGATTTTATTATATTTTATTTGTTTTTGTTTTTGAAGAAATGAATGCTTTTATTCAACAAGGATGCATTAAATTGATCAAAAGTGACAGTAAAGACATTTATAATGTGGCAAAATATTTATATTTCAAATAAATGCTGTTCTTTTGAACTTTCTATTCATCTGTGAATCCTGAAAAATAAAACGTATCACAGTTTATTTACTGTATTTTTTATTAAATAACTGCAGCCTTGAGTGAGCAAAAGAGACTTCTTTCAAAAACATTATCATCTTACCAACCCGAAACTCCTGAACAGCAGTGAATGCATTGTTTTAATGTATTTAAATATGTACCATCCCAAGGAAACTGGCCTCCCAGCAGAGTCTTGATTTCTTCCACCCAAACTGTCTTTCTACATCTACTAGGCTTTCATTGCCACTGTTGCCTATAAAAATCAATTCAGTTGAATTATCTAATGCAATGGCATTCAGACATTCTTTCCCTTTTCTTTATGCAGGATCTGGAAGGCTCTCACAGATAACTATGGCAGTGTGATGCCGGTGGACTGGAGTCAGTCTAGGGTTCGCTCACTTCACCTCTCAACACTGAGCATTGAGGACAGACCGGTGAGTCTCAGTCTCGAGCCTGTGTCCACTGCCAGTGACAGCATTCAGACCGCAGTAACTCTTCCTCTGTCTCGGTCCGTCAGCGGATGGAGAGTGTGAACCTGGACCTGTCTGATGATGAGGACCTGAGGGAGCAGATGGACATGCACTCCATCATTGTGTCCTGCATCAACGAGGAGCCGCTGCTCACTGCTGAACAGGTGAGGACCGAACCTCACTCCTGTCCAGAAAACACAGTATTCAGTTCATTCAAAGAAAATGGATTAAAAAATAATTGTTAAATAAACGTACTTCTACTTTAGATGACAAAGTATATCACAAATAAATAAATATTTAATAAAAATATAATTAAAAAGGAAGTAAACACTGTAACCAACAGGGCACTCAGTAATCTGGGAAGTTTGTGTGCACTGGGAATCATATTTTTTCAAATAAAGCCAAGGTAACGCTCATTTTACAAACAGCACACAGTGGAAATTACATGAATATGGCAGTGGGCAAATGCATAAAGCGCAGCATAATTTGAAATCACGAGTTTAAAGTTTTTCGATTGCGCGTCTCCAGTGAGGCTGAACTCTCCTACTGTCCGCGTTCAACTCGCATAGACCGACCGTCACACAGAGAACACGCGATCATGCAGGATACACAGCTCAAGCGCTGCCGTTCTCGGCGCCATCAAAATAAAAGTCCCGCCTAGGACCGAATCGGCCAAACAGAAAATCTTATCGGCCGATTTTGAAAAATGCCAAATATCGGCCGATATATCGGCAAGGCCGATATATCGGCCGACCAATAATTACAAACAAACATTAGAATAGTACATAGAATAATGAATAGACACAAGAATAATACATAGACATGAATACTTTTAATATTTAGAAATTAAGCAAGGTGACAGGAAAAAACATTAATGTTTCAAAAGATTTATTTTTTAAATAATTGTGGTCTTTTAAACTTTCTATTCATTTTTGTTAAAGTTTTAATAAATTGTTGTTAATTTGTGTAAGTTTTGTAATTTGATTTTTGAAATTTAATTTAACCATTAAAACAGAATCCAGGAAAAAATAAAACTGAAAAAAAAAATTGGGTAAAATATTATGGAAGCCTGCTTCAGCCACAGAATAAAGAAATAAAAAAACTTTATCTTGCAATTCAGACTTTTTTCTTGCAATTCTGAATTGCGAGATATAAACAGAAACAAAGTCTGAATTGTGAGATACAAATTTTTGCAATTACCTTTTTTTTTATTCCATGGTAACTGACTTCCATTCCTAAAAATAAATCAAAATCTGGGAAAAAATAAAATCAGTTTCATAAGGCCCTAAAATTATTAAGGTTTCCAAACACGTAACTTAAATAAAATAAACTTAAACTTAAATACAACTATTAAAACTTATTTTAAAGACTGGAGGTAATGGCTGCTGAAAATTCAGCTTTGTTATTACGGGAATAAATTGCATTTTAAAATATATTGCAATGGAAAACAGTTATTTAAAATTGTAGTAATATTTCACAATATTACTGTTTTTACTGAAGAATCCTGAAAAATAAAAATGTTTCACGATTTACGCTAAAATATTCGGCAGCACAACTGTTTTCAACATTGATAATAATTAGAAACAAATAAAATAAGTAGAATCATAGAAAAATACATTACAGCACAACGGCATCATAGCATCCTTGCATCTTATCACCGTAAAACTACAAAGAAAGAATAAGCAAGCATAGATATCGAACAACTATGTGAAACGTTCACCACATTAGCTGTGGATATTTAACACCGTTTGAGATTAGTCAACAATATTGTAATGAAAATAAACCAAACATGAAATACAAAACAAGAAACATAACACACTCGGATCTGCTTACCAAAGGGATACTAAACACTTAAAAACTAATAATTTTCACCCCCGAACTCGGGTACTTTTTACCTTGTGACAAACGTGAAGTACTTCTTCACTTTTCCCATTTTCGCATATCCTTTACAGTTGTTGTGCCCTCTACTGGTGATGCCAAGCAGAACAAATTAAAGGGAAAGGTCATATTATTTTTAGGTGATTGAGGAGCTAGAGGAGCTCCTGCAGGACTCCCCAGAGATGGAATCAGAGCGGATCGCTCCACACTCAGAGCTCTCGCTCATCTCTCAGAAGACCCAGAGGTCTCACAGCAGCCAGATCTACGAGGAGCGTGAGTACGTCCCTCTGGAGGTCAGATGTAGGGCTGTGGAAAGCGTGTCTGAGGTGTGCTGTCTGTGCAGGAGTGAGGCTGATGTCTGCGCTGGAGCTGAACGATGAGCTGGAAGACGTGGAGACGGCCATACGCAGGTATTCAGAGGAGCTGATCCAGCAGCTGGCCTTCAGGGATGAGCTGGAGTTTGAGAAGGAGGTGAAGAACAGCTTCATCGCGGTTCTCATAGACGTACAGAACCGGCAGAAGGTCCACCGAGAGATGCTGAAAAAGAAGAGGAAAATGTCTGGATCAGAGAGGCTGCCGTCTTCTGTGAGTAGCACGAGTCGTTCGATTGGGATGTTTAGTGGAAGTATTTGTGTTTTCTGTCTTAAAGGGATAGTTCACCCAAAAATTAAAATTCTGTCATTAATTACTCACCCTCATGTCGTTCCAAACCTGTAAGACCTTCGTTCATCTTCGGAACACAAATTAAGATATTTTTGATGAAATGTGAGAGCTCTCAGACCCTGCATAGACAGCAACGCAACTGTAATGTATCCAGGTCAAGGAACAAGGATCAAGGAACTTTGCTGCCATACCATGGGTGCAGCAGGCGCAATGATATTACGCAGCGCCTGCAGCCGGTTTCTACATAGAAAGCAAGCTATTTGAATTAGACCACCTCCGAGCCATATACAGACATATTCATGTGTCTTCTGTTGACACGCCCCACGGAAGAGAGGGGCGGGGTGAGCAGCAGCTCATTAGCATTTAAAGAGACATGCACCGAAAGCTCTTTTTGACAAGGTATCTTTTTTTACACGACCATTGAGGAATTTTAACCAAAGTGTGTTATAGACAATTCATGAAGACCCTTAAGAATCATACCAGCTTGTGGAAAATGGGCATCCGATGTCCCCTTTTGGGTATCGAAAACTGGTTCCAAATTTCCAAGAACCGGGTATTCGATAAGACGCCTGCATTTAGATTCTGCTTAACGATTCCTGCGTTCGCATTTTAATGTGATTAAAAACGATTTAAGTGCAGGAACGGAAAGAACACCCTGTTTGCGTGCAGCACACACGAAGCGCAAGCGCGAGCACAGAGAACAGAGGTCGCGGTACGGGTTCCCGGTTTGTGTCCGTTCTCGAACCGTTCTGTGTATTTCCACTGTAGAAAAGGTTGTTCCGGGCCGAAACTGACTTCTTTCATATTTGTCGACCAATATGCAGAAAACTACGTCAGTATATCATCATAAACACAGTTGTTTTTGTCTTACGTGAACGTAAACCGATGAGAAAGAAAACACACGTACAGTATTTTTAGATCTGCGTGCATTCGGTGTTAAAGAGACAGCAGCCTAATAACCGCGCTGCCTGTCATTAATGTTAATCAAAGAACAAAAGAAAATCATTCACTGATCTTGACTGAATATATTTAATAACTTTAATTGATTAATCTATATTTTATTTATGAAAAGAAAACTATGCAGTGTTTTTAAACTTTTAATTACAGTTTCTGTACCTGAAATTTTGTTCAGTTGTATTTATTTATGATATTGCTAATTGATTTGTTTGTTCCTATCTTATTACTGACTGTTTACTTGTCTTTAACACTTTAATATTTGAAATGTATATTAATCTAGTAATATAATATATAATATAATTTGCTGTGGTATTTTATTTAAAGCATAGGCAAAATTCCTCTTGCAGTGTTCTGTAGGCTGCTGATTTTTGCTCGTGTTATTCAGCTGCAACAGAATGCTTTGTAAAAAAAATCTAATTGTTTGACTTTTTTTTTTTTTTATATTGGATTTTTTATCTTATTGGAATCGAAACTAGGAATCTATAAGAATCGGAATCGATAAAATTAAAACGATACCCAACCCTAAAGATGAACGAAGGTCTTACGGGTTTGGAACGACATGAGGGTGAGTAATTACCGTATTGACCCGAATATAAGACGATGTTTTTTTCTTGGAAATACATCTGAAAAAACGCGGTCGTCTTATATTCAGGGTCTAGACTTTGACATGTCAATAATAC